TATATATATATATATATATATATATATATATATATATAAAGACAGATATAGAGATAGATAGATAGACAGAGAAATGTATATATTTTCAGTTTAATTATATTTTAAATAAAAAAAAAGAAAACCAAAAAAAAAAAGAATAAAAAAAAACAAACCAAACAAACAAACAAACAAATAAAATAAATAAACAAAATAAATAAACAAACAAATAAACAAATAAATAAACAAATAAATAAATAAATAAATAAACTTACGATGGCTAGACAGGGGTCCTGTGTAAATACAGAAGAGGCCCCCCCAACAAAACCCATCGATTTTATGTGTAGCAAGAAGCAGCATACACACAAATAAAAACCTAGAACCTAAAAAAAAATAAATAAAAATAAATAAAAATAAATAAATAAATATAAATAAATAAATAAATAAATATAAATATAAATATAAATTAATAAATAGTTTATTTGTTTTTTTATTTGGTAGAAAAAACCATCAAATAGAACAGCATACACACAAATAAAAACCTAAAACCTAAAAATAAATAAATAAAAATAAATAAATAAATATAAATAAATATAAATAAATAAATAAATAAATAAATAAATAAATAAATAAATAAATATAAAAAATAAATAGTTTATTTGTTTTTTTATTTGGTAGAAAAAACCATCAAATAGAACAACATACACACAAATAAAAACCTAGAACCTGTACATAAATAAATAAAAATAAATAAATAAATATAAATAAATAAAATAAATAAATAAATATAAATAAATAAATATAAATAAATAAATATAAATAAATAAAATAAATAAATAAATATAAATAAATAAATTAAATAAATGAACAAATAAATAAATGAAAGTATATGAATAGTTAGATAGAAAGGAAGAGCTAATAGAACAACAAACACACAAATAAAATAAATAAATAAAATAAATAAATAAATAAATAAAATAAAATAAATAAATAAATAAAATAAATGTGTAGATACATATAAATAAGTAAATAAACAAAATAAATAAATAAATAAAAACAAACCTGAGATAAACAAACAAAAAGGAGAAAGGTGGTTATAGAAAGAAAACACAAAAAAAAAACAAAAAACAAAAACACAAAAAAAACAAACAACCAACCAAACAAAATAAACAAATAAATAAACAAACAAACAAACAAATAAATAAATAAATGAAATAAATAAAATAAATAAATAAAAACAAACCTGAGACAAACAAACAAAAAGAAGAAAGGTGGTTATAGAAAACACCCAAAAAAAAAACGAAAAACAAAAAAACAAAAAAACAAACAACCAACCAAACAAAATAAACAAATAAACAAACAAACAAACAAATAAATGAATAAATAAAATAAATAAAATAAATAAATAAAATAAATAAATAAATAAAAACAAACCTGAGACAAACAAACAAAAAGAAGAAAGGTGGTTATACACCGCGCGTTGTGGGCC